GTGTGTGTGTGTGTGTGTGTGTGTGTGTGTGTGTGTGTGTAACTTGCCATTCCTGGTCAAGTTTTTCGGGACCAAGTAAGTGGCTCACATGCATTCTTCAGCTGTTCACGTCCTACGTAAGTGACATGTTTAGCACAGTAAGTACAACCGGCCTGAGGAGGTTTGGGAGCACCCAGGAGGAGCTGGCTAACGATGAGCAGGTTAAGGCAGGTCTGAAGTGGAGGGCGGAACTCACGGAGGGCCGGAGGGGCCGGGTGAACCTCCCCTTGGCAGTCTGTGCCGCAGGGACATCTGTCAGTGTCTGCTCCAAGGGACCTGGATGAAGCCAGGCGTTGGCTAAGGGGACTTTAATTCAGAGAGATTCTACTATAAATACATTTTCATTACCATGCATAGGTACTAGCTCCGAAAGAGCATTTTCCTAAAGTGGTTTCCAGCAGTGGGCCTGCAGAACTCGTCTTAATGAGCAGCCGACGCTCATGTCTAATCAGCAGCATCTGATCTGTCTGCACACCTAATTGGTGAGCCCGAGTGCATTCCCCGGCAAGCAAGTTTACACCACGCTGCTGTAATTAGTTTGTTTATCAGACATTTTTTTTTTTCTCCTTAGATGGGATGAGATCATGTTTTGGTCCACTCTTCATTGAATTATCTCAAATTTTAAAATGAGTGATTGAGAGACTTCATGAGGTAGACGGGCTAGAGTTCTTACATGCCTCTATCAATGTTTTCCATTAAATCGGTTCTTCCCTTTACTACTGGGGGCAATAGGATATGATATGCAAAGGAGAATTTAAAAAGGAAGCTAAATAAATAGACATTGGCACTAATACTATTAAGATGGAAATGTTTAAAGAGGAGGACAAACACGCACACACACAGGCAGAGAGGAGATACAGAGAGAGATGTGCAAAGAGAGGATAAGACAGCGAAGTTAGAGACAGGTAAAGACACACACACACACACACACACACACACACACACACACACACCACACCACACCACCACCCCCACCCCCAATAGAGAAACAATGAAGCCAAAGAAAATGCGAGAAAGACAACAGAGACATGGAGACATCTTCTAGAGAGACAGAGCAGCAGCAGCCCAGCCCAGCTGCTTGAGGTGAACTCCAGCTGCCCTTTGACCCAAACCACAGAGCTCTCAGTGTGGAGGTCGGAGGCCTTGGGGAGTGGTGTCACTGACGCGGACAGGAAAGCAGGTCCAGGGGCCAACAGGAGACACAGCACACCACCAGGCAATTCCAGAACAGCGAGCGGGTCACGGCTGCACCTTAGTTAGGTGGCCCCGCACCCCCCTCATTTACATCCATTTATTGTGTTTTCCAGCTGAAAATTTATTTAAAACTCATTTTTTTGCTCTTGTGTTTTTGCTTCAGAAAGGTCCTGAAGGAGATCTCTCTCGGGGAACTCAATCCCAACGAGACGGTGCAGGCAAACCTGGAGGCTCAGCTCCTCTCCAAGCTGGACCACCCGGCCATTGTCAAGTTCTACGCCAGCTTTGTGGAGCACCACACTTTCTGCATCATCACCGAGTACTGTGAGGTGAGACGCCCTTCTCTGCAGTGAGCCCTGCTGAAAATCTCCACCAGAAGCACTGCTTCCGCTTTTGAAAACAGAAACAACCCCCAATAACTCCAAAGTGTAACCAGAAAGCCACAAGCAGAATCGTAAGAACTTGGGTCCTCCTAGCATCTAGCCGAGAACAGTCATTTCTATGTAATCTGCCGGCATATTTCTAATGAACCAGTTCCCCTTCCCCCTGACTTGGAGGGTGGATGGACCTGTATTTTAAGAAATGAATATACCTTTTTAAGAAGTCTTACACACATGCTTCCCTGCTACTCCCTGCTCTCGCTCCCTCCCAGTCACAGTTATGCATTTTTCTGAGCCCCAAGTGACCGTGAGGGCGGTGGGAGAGGGGCAAGAGGGGGAGCTGACATGCACAGCCTCTATGTACCTGTGGCTTTATCCCGAGAGAAGTGGTGTAGGTGACGTGGGTGATGGCAGACAAAGAACACCACAAATTAACCTTGCTAAAATTAAGATAACAATGATAAAAATAATGACTTCCTAGAACATTCTGGGAACCAGGATTTGCCAAAGTACCTTGAGAAAATTTGGGATGATTCCCATGCTTTAAGACTGGATGAAGTCAGCTTACTCCCTGGAGGTTGCTGCGATCCCAAAGCAATGATCCTGGGGAGGACGATGTTTTTAAGGGTGGAGGGTGGGCCTCCTAGGGTCAGAAATGTTACACAACCAGATACACCCTGAAGTGCTGGTTATTTGAGAGGCAGGAGAAAGGGAATCAGTTCACAAGGAGTGGGAAAAGCCAGAAAGATTCAGTTGGTCTGTTTTACAGATTAGCTGGCATAACACCCAAAAGGAAACCAAACACCAACTTAGACTAAAACAGAGTGAATTTGAATGCTAGCCAGTCTTGCCACTGCCCTTCAGCTCAGCCTCCTCAGTTCAGCCTACCCTGTTGCTTGGAGGAACGTCGGGGTGGGGGTAGGGGCAGGGTGGGCCGTGAGGGACAACAAACCCAGGTGACCTGGATGTCTACTTCCCTCTGCAGCAAGTGGATTGTAAAGGAAATCAGCAAGACGATGAAGCGTACAACGTGGTAGTACTAAATATCTACTCTGCCAAGAACCCATGCTAAATGACAGCTAAGTAGCTGTCATCGGGAGATGTAGCAACTTGTATATGTAGCTACACTGTGATCCAGCTGTTAGAATTTAACAATTCCCCTTCCTCTACCCCCTTCACTTAGTAATCTTATTTCTGCAACAACTGACTCTTGCTGTTGAACTACTTACTACAATGCTGCTATTGTTTTCGACATGTTGAAATTTCCAAAGACCCACTCTTGGTCGTCACATGTTTTAAACAGTCAGCAGCACGGTCCAATACATCTTTCTGTTCTGTGATGACGGAAGTGGTCTGTCCAATAGGGACTGTCCAATATGGTAGCCCCTGGCACTGTAGCAAAAGGAAGTGGTTGGCATCCGACCCTTTCAAGAAGCAGTGTATGAGCAAGAACAGAGGGTGTAGAAGGAAGAGAAGTCCAAGCTGAACTGAAAGCATTGATGGAATACTAAGTTGAAATATACAAAAAAAAAACAAAAACTGGGGCAAAGCTGAAGCACTCATTAGCTTATACAAGAAATTGGGAAGATGGCTGCCGGGCCGGCCAACTGGAAGAAATCCATATTCCCATCTGCTACCAAGAAAGATGATCAAACCGAATGCAGAAACTGTCTAACACTATCATTAATACCCAGGAGCTCCAGCGGTGCTGTTGGGTGGGTGTCAGACGGCTCACCACTCGGCTCTTTGCTCCATAAAGATTCTCAGCCTCAGAAACCCCATATTGGGTCACCATGAGTCTGTATCAACTTGCTGACAGTTGGTGGTGAGGGGTGGGGAGTCGTGAATATAACATTCAAGGAAAATTTTGCTGAAGCTAAATGGTTACAGCAGTACACCAACAGGGAGCAGCCAGAAAGCTGGGCTGAACTCAGAAGAGAGTGTGGAACAAGGGATATCATTGTTGATGTTCAGCCGTGAACATCAGAAAGATGTTTGTGTTTTATTGACCATGCAACAACATTCAACTGCATGGATTATAACAGACTATGGATAATATTGCCAAGAATGGAATTGTGCTTCTGTGGAGCCTGTACCCAGCCTAAGAGGCAGACATTCAAACAGAACAAGGGGACTCTGCGTGGAGATGGATTAAGATCAGGAAAGGTGGGTGTCACCATCCTTATGTATTATGCATGCTGGGCAAATCACCTGAGAGGCTGGGCGGCATGAAGAAAACTAACGCCCTAGGATTGGAGGAAGGCTCACCAACAACCTGCAGGATGCAAATGACACCACCTTGTGTGCTGAGTGTGAGAGGGACGTGAAGCACTTGCTGAGGAAGAACAAAGACTGCAGCGTTCAGGAGGAGTTACAACTCAATGCAGAGAAAACAAAAATGCCCACAATTGGACCCGTCAGCTGGGCCAAAGCAACCTTATGATAAATGGAGAAAAGATTAAAGTGGTCAAGGATTTCATTTTAATCGGGTCTGCAAGCAATCCATGTTCATAGAAGCAGCAGTCCGGAAATGAAACTGTCTTCATCGCACTGGGCAAATCTGCAAAAGATCTCTTTAAAGTGCTAAAAAGCAAAGATGTGACTTTGAAGACTCAGTGTAGCTGACCCACCACATATCAATCCACCATGGAGTCAACGTCGGGCTGCTAGCCACCAAGTCAGTGGTCTTTTCTCCTCTGTCCTGGGGTTGCTATAAGGGCCTGACCTCAGCCACGGTCCTCTCAGTCACCTCATATGCACGCAAGGGCAGGGCAACGTGTAAGGAAGACGGAGGACGAATGGCTGCTCCTGAATTATGGTGTTGAAGAGGCCTAGTAAATAAATCTTGGCTTGGTCGAAGAGCAAACAAATCTGTCTCCGAGGAAGACATGCTCCTTAGACGTGAGATGCTGAAACCTCATCTCCTATACTTTGGGCCCGTTATCACAAGGGACCAGTCCCTCCCTGCAGAGTGACATTGTGTTTGGTAAACTAGGGGGGCAGTGGCAACGATTGGCTCCCACAAAGGGTAGATGGTAAGGGGGCTGCAGGATGGGGCCGTGCTTCGTCCTGCTACACATGAGGTCACCCCGAGTCAGAACCAACGAGGCGGCACCGTCAACATCACAACAGTCCCCTGTGTCTCTTGAGCATTTCAGATATGGCTTGTGAGACTGACGAGCTGGATAGGACAGGTGACACATTCAAGTTTAAAGAGCTGCATGTGGCTGATGGCTACCATATTGGAGAGGGCGGGTCTAGACGACAATCCATAACTTTCTTTATGGCAATAACTTGCTAACTGTTTATTTTAAGCAACCAGAGTGCTTGCAAGAATAAGACAGTGAGCATGTATGTGCTGTTCTTCCAGATTCTCCAAATGTTGACATTTGGGCACATGGACATTTGATTCCTCCTTCTATTCAGCTAGCTTTCATGCACTTCCCCTCCCTGAACGCCCTAAGAGTAAAGTTGCAGGCCTGGTGTCCCTTTGCTTCCAAATACTTCCGTCAGTGTATTCTAGGACCCACATGTGGTAGTTACATAATCTGGTGTCAACTTCAGACTATTAAGAGGGATGTGGTGGCGCTTATCCTGTCTATCAGGTCACAACCAATGAGGCCTCTCTGTGGGCATGACCTTCTCCTGAGGATTATGCGAACTTCTGTCTTCCTCCCTGGAGGCGGGGCACACGCTCTCTCTGCTTCATCTCCCTACAAGACATTCCTGTTGACAAGCCACATGGAGCGAAGCTGATGGCAGCCAGAGCCCTGGGAGCTGGAGGAGCCACGTGGAAACCCCACGCCAGCACTGAGATGCTTTCACCACCACTGGATCCACAAGATTTTCCACCCACTGACCTGCGATCTTCCTGAATTCGGTGTCATTGAATGTGTTACATGAGTATGAAGAGGAATTCATAGACTGGTATCGGACATATGGGCTAATATCAGACTTATGGATGTGATCTGGCCTAGCTTGGGATGTTTTCCTAATATACAGTTACTCTTTGATATAAAATTCTCTATTACACACATATGCGTGTCCCTGGATTTGCTTCTCTAGTCTACCCATCATAACACACCATGTGAGGTGGGCCCTTTGCATAGCCACAGTGGGCTAGAAGCCTATGTCCAGATGATGCTGTTTTGTAACCCAGTGGCTCTCAGGGGGAGGTCCTAGACAGGCTGTAGCATCAGCATCACAGTCTCAGCTCAGAGATACTGAATCAGAAATCCTGGGGACTAGGCCTCGAGCAATCTGTGCTTTGGCAAACCCCTCCCGGAATTCTGATACTCACTCAGCCTTCAGAACCAAATGAAAAACTCCACCCATCCCAATAGGCTCCTCGAAAGGATCTTTCTGTAAGATTGCATTTGCCAGTATAAAAGCGAATGCAGGATCATTCGCGTTAATTTTCAAGTGATGGGTGGTTTTTCATGTGAGCTGCTCTCCAGGGAGGGGCGTTGTCATGGTGATGGCTGCAGCTGCAGGCGCAGAGAACAGCTGCAGGGCTTCCCAGGCTCCTAGGTAGCAGAGCTGTTGGGCTGCCTGGCCCTTCCTTCCCTCCCTCCCTCTGGAGCAATGATGTGTGTAGATTGTACCATTCCTGTTAACAGAGATGTTTCTCATCTTCAGACTCAAATTTACTCTTAACTCGCACAGGCCTGGCATCATCTCTTTCATGCGAAAGTAAAATAGTCATACTGAAATGGCAGCTGAAATACCGATTTGCAGCTCACAGAAAAATGCTATCGCTACCACAAGAGCTGGACTTCTTGTTGTTGTTGTTGTTTTGTTTGTTTATCTCCAAGTTCCCTCAGCTGCAATTTAATGTGGGGGCTTTGCGGGATTGAAATCCATGGATGTGTTTATTCATGAGGTCGCTGTGCCCAGTACCCAGCCTTGTGGATCTAACACAACAGATTGCGAACGTACCAAGCAGACGG